GTAGAGTATCCTGAATTGGAAAGGGCCCATGAGGATCATTGAGTCCAGCTTCTGGCCCTGGTGAGGTGGGCATCATATGCCACCTACATCAGGAAGCAAAAATCCTTCTAGAGTCTGTATTTCACAAAGTTGTTTTTCAAATTAAAATTTAATATTGGTTGCATAATGGAGAATTTGTATATTATGGAGTTAACACTGACTGCCTTTTGAGAGTGTTAAAGACAGTAGTAGTGTAATTCCACTTGCAAGAATTATTTCTTTAGGGATTGCTGAAACTCTACTGAATTCAGGCTTTTCAGAAGAGAATGTGGATTTTCAACAGAATATGTAAAATGTCCTACATTTCAGTTAGTTTGTTTTCTGTGGAAAGAGCAACCTTTAGAGTTACACAGTACTAACTGAAAAAGGATATATAATCTTGACAGAAGCTTGTCATAAAATCCACTAGAATCCCAAAACAAAAAACCACCTTGTCTTCCACTTGACCTCTGCAGTTTAATGCAAAGATGAAATCAGATATTTCTGGTGATTGCCTGTATAGTGTATACAGTTGTGTACAGCACTATGGTGCTAGACATATGCCCCTAATTGAGGTCAAGTGGTGTCTGCTTTACATGACAAATGTGTTGTAAGAACCCACAGAGTGTAAATACTACATGTTGTTTCTAATTTTACTAGACTTATCCTTAGTTTTGTATGCGTTCCTTTCTAGCCCTGTTAGCCTGTCTTCATCAGCTACATTTTTGCACAATATTCTTCCCTGTGTGCTCTGAGTTTGCAAAAGTTTTGGCCAAGGCGGTGTCACCTCATTACCCATTTAAGATTTTTCAGTTTCAAACTGTTTGCAACATAACTGATTCTGCTGTATCTCTGAAACAACACCAGATTGTGCACCAAGTCTGATATTATTCTGTATGCATCAGACTTGCAGAATTTGTCCAGATCCATTGGGAACAGGCATGACCTAAAGCAACCCCTTCTCACAGAGATAAATGAGTGCCTTATGTTTGCTCTGTGTTACTCTTGGAAAGTCCTTTGCATCAAAATCACCTCTTACACAAAATATAACTATGATAAAATCCTAAAGATCTGATTCTAATTTTTTTATTTTTTACACTAGAACAATCAAGCTGCAGCACATCTGTATTCTTGACATTTACTGTCAAATCACCTGCAAAACTAAGAGAGTTCATTAAAGAGAACACATTTTTCACAAAGATGTCTTTGGCTCCAGTGAAAATACAAAGCAAAGACTGCAGAATAAAGGACATAGGAAAATAAAATCTTGAGGAAGAGGCTCAGACAAGTGAGAAACACAGAGTTGGAGGACAACAAAAAGAGTTCATCCAGTAAACATTCTAAACCAGTGAAATTAGTCGAGACAGTCCTTCAAGCACAAGTCATATGGCAGAGCTAATGAGAGAAAAAGCTAAAAAAACCCAGCTCTCAGGTATTTTGCATATGTGGCAATAATATAGAAATTACTAGAAAATTGTTCTCAGTATCCATTTGCTTTGAGAATGTAAACCAGATTTTACTTCAGAAGCAATTTCATAATAATGACTTTTCACATGGAAGAGATAAAGCAAAATTAGAGATGAAATTCAACACTGAAAATATTTCTTTGATTTTATTCCAGCTGACATATTTGCTTCCTGGATATCTGCTTTTCTTTAATTTTTTTTTTTTTTCACTGTAGCAGACCTTTACCCTCTTTGGCTTACATTTTAAGACCAAAGTTACTGTACCTTTCATTCCCTGATTGATATTTGCAAGCCAGCAGGTGCTAATGGTGCAGAAAAGTGCATATGAGCTTGAGAGAACATTGTTGAATCCCAGCATGAAGCCAAAGATAATATGGATATATACACTCTAGTTTTACTGACACAGACTTTGAATTGTCATAGATTTGGATAACAGTTGGTCAAATATTTCATTTCAAGGAAATTATTTTTTTGTGTGTGTGTGCCAAAAAAAATATGATGTTAATCCAGTGAGACTTGGGCCCCATGCTGCTTCAAATAAGATTAAAGGGATTGCCTACCAGGGTGAAGTTCTATTAAGTTTATAAATATTCATTGCTACATTGAAAAGTTTAAAGCAGACTGAATTTCAGTTAATTGCTCACAGAAAGTAATCTTCTTATTTAAAAGAATACTGTTAATTAGATTTTCAAGGAAAAAAGACTGGGAACCCAAGATTTTTGTACAAAGAGAGGGCTTTAGGCAGCTGAGTTTTATGAAACACAGAAGTGATCAGATCTGTTATGAGGATAAAATTAGTTACTAATTTGGTATTAAGATATTTAGATATTTTCCAGTTACAAGATCGTGTCAATATTTTTTAAAATATTCATTGCAAATGAATTTTCTCAACCAGACAGAAGTTCCTGAGTGTTGGTTCAAAAGATATAGAGTCCCTGGCCATATCAGACAAAAGTAAATTACTTAAAAGACTTGAGCTATGCCATACAAAAACACAGACTAGAGGTGTCAGAGTAGAAATATTATCTGTATCAGAATGGATACAATAAAAACAAAGCAAGACAAAACAAAACAAAGCACATTTCTGCCCTCCAAAAACCACATCTCCAGTATCAGGAGACAGCACAACTCACACCAGCACTGTAATGAAAACAGTGGTTACAAAATGTTGTCAATACTGAAGGAATTACTTGGTGAATGTGTGAACAATGTTAACAAAGCAGCATTTTCCTTATAATGTCTTGTAAAGTGCACTACTTTATTTGTATTTCCAGGAACTGCATTAACAAGGCATGTTGCTGCAATTCAGCGAAACAGGAAAATACCAGTGCTAATAAAAAGTACTCGTATAGTTTCTATCCCAAGAATTGCATATACTCAGGGAGTTCAAGGTTGGAAGCTACAATTTGTCTCCTATTCAGTTTATCACAGGCTGCAATAATTGAACAGTTGTCCATACACACACACAAAAAAACCCCACCCAAACAAAAACAAACACAAGCAAACAAACAAACAAAAACAAAACCAAAAATAATAAAACAAACAAACAAACAAACAAAAACCAACAGCCCCAAAAAGGCTGAAAACTGAATTTGGCTAGGGGTTCTACATGGGGAAATAAATGGGAAATTAACTAAAATGTAAAATGAGAGGCCACTAACTTGCCTCAGTAATTCTCCAGAAGAACACTCCTTTGCTGTAAGAGTGCTACTGTGAAATGGATTTTATCATGCTTTGGAAACATATTAAGATACAATGCATTGAATTTTCTTTAGTACATTTTCTTTGCCAAACAAGCGCTGTAAGAATGGCAACAGTGAAGTAAATAAATTCCTTCTTCTCATTAATTTCTACTTGTAGATGGTTTCAAAATAACATCTAGTTAAAATCTGACACACAGCCTATGCTGGTAGAGACAATCCACTTTGATTATTTACACCAAAGGTTAATCATCCTTTTAAAAAGTATGTTTCTTTTCACACTTAGAATATATACAACCTTTACTTTCAGTGCTTAGTTCTTTTTTCTTTTCTTTTTAACTATTCAAATAAGGGGGCCTTTTGTAGTCTATTATGAATATACTGAATGAAAAGAATTTTTAAAGTAAATGGAAAAAGCTGTCATTAAGTTCAGAGGATTTGAAACTGCTCCAGAAAATCTGAGAAAGTTTTATTACTTTTTTTTTCATTCCTTCACGAAATTTGTTTTCCAGTCCGCTGAATGATGAACATTTTGTTCAACATTGAGGGAAAAGGCACAAAATAAAACTGATTTTTTTCTGAAGGGTAATGCATAACTGCTTCTAGGTTGTTCTTAAAGTAGGAGAGAGCCCAGGAGATGAATCTGTAATTACATGGATCCAGTTGTTTTGATATTTCTCTGACTAAGAAATAAGGCTAACAGAGTTCTAGATCTTAAGTAGGACAGCTGATTGCCTCAATATGAAGTTGTGGTTTAACCCCAGCCAGCTGCGAAGCCCCACACAGCTGCTCGCTCACTCCACCACTAGCACAATCAGCAAGAGAATCAAAAGGGTAAAAGCAAGAAAACTCAAGGGTTGAGACAAAGACAGTTTAACTGAGAAAGTAAAAGTCACACAACCAAAGCAAAACAAGGAATTGATCCATTTAACACTTCCTATGGACAGGCAGGTGTTCAGCCATCTCCAGGACTTCAGCTCCCCATCCCATGTCATGGTTGCTTGGGAAGACAAAGCCTTCATTTAAAATGTTCCTCCCTTCCTTCTACTTCCCCCTACTCTTTATTCTAAGCATGATGTCATATGGTCTGGAACATCCCTTTTTGTCAGTTTGGGTCAAACTGTCCTGGCTGTGTCTCGTCCCAGCCTCCCATGTACCTCCAGCTTCCTCACCAGTATGATAATAAAAAAAGCAGAAAAGGCCTTTGTTCTGTGTAGGCCCAGCTCAGCAGTAACAAAAATATCTATATTTTATCGACCCTGTGTTTAACACAAATCCAAAACAGCCTCATACCAGCCACTGTGAAGAAAATTAACTCGACCCCAGACAAAACCAGCACACAAGTTGTCACATTCCGCTGTGGGAAACTGCAGGGAGTTCTTTTAAAGCAGATGTTCCAGGAAAAAATGAAGACAAGCGAGGCAAATATTATATCTGAGAACCATTTATTGGTAATGAAAAGTGTGTTCCCCTACTAAGGAAGAATAGAAAAGACAGAAAAGGAGGAAGAAGGAAAAAGAATGGGGGGCAGAGAGAGAAGGATAGAGACGGGAGAGAGACAGAAGAAGAAGATGTTATCAGCAGAATTTCAGAGTGTGTCATTGACGTCCAAGAGGCAGAGCACATGTGCTCGCCACTCTTGGAGCGGCGCAGCTCCACAGGCGCAGCTCCACAGACGCAGCTCCACAGACCCAGCTCCACAGACGCAGCTCCATAGACACAGCTCCACAGACTCAGCTCCACAGGCGCAGCTCCACAGACGCAGCTCCACAGACACAGCTCCACAGGCGCAGATCCACAGACAGAGCTCCACAGACACAGCTCCCCTGTGGACGGGCAGCCGGGCACACAGTGAGCGGTGCTTGGGCCGGACGTGCAGGGCCCTGGACAGGCTCATGGGATCACCATGGCGGGCTGCAGTGGTGAAGCAGTGTTGGAGGCAGGCAGCAACACAGGGAGGCAGGACAGGCAACAGCTGGAGCAGGCGAGGGAGGTGAATGTTTTCTAAATATGTTGATCTTAATTTGTAGAAAAATGCCTAACAGTTTCTAGCTCTGTACGGGTAACAGGAAATCATTAATGTCGGAAATTAATTCGACATTAAAACATCTCGTGAAAATTTCTGTGGAAGTCTATTCATGGTTCTGTAGAGCACAAGAAAAATATTTCTGTGTGTATTTACATTTTTTTATTTCCTCTGGTGAATAAGTTCAATTATTCACAAACTTTGCTCCAGAAATATAACTACTTCAAAAACTAGGGACTTCTTATAATAAGAGGGGAGCTGGACTGGACAAAAATGCAGACTGAGCCAATATGGCTAAAACTACGTTCTCCGTTTATTGTCTAAAAGATGGCAGTTTATATACACTTCAATATAGTTTACAAGTCGTGAACATGCTATCATTGGTCAGCAAATATTGTTTACCTTTGCCTTAAGTTGGTCAGTCTTTTCACACTGCAGCTCTATGCTATTTCACACTCAGATAGCTCATTATTTTGTGGTCACCTTAACATAATTTCTAACTGTGCCACAAGTAAATTCTCACTATGTCAAAGGCTTCTAGGCCCCACCAAGGCCGCTTATCAGGGGCCCAGTCGGAGGGTAGCGCAATTCTTCACTCTAAATATAAATCATGTCCTGTCTCTCTCAGAAATTTTACCACATACTTCCATTTTTTAGACTTTTATTTGATTCTATCTTGAAATTACGCAAATCTTACAGCCTCTAAACCCACTTTAGGTGTGCTAGTTTTGTGCTGGTAGATAATCCCACAAGCTTCAAAGCCTGTTCATGAAGATATCTATTAAATGCTTGTGATATTTGCAAACATGATAACAATTAAAACAATTTTAAAAAATGATAATTTTAAAATTAAAGTTTGATTTTAGAATTTTGTTCTGTTTCCACAGCTGTTTGGTTTTTTTTCATAAACATTGAAGTTGCTTCAAATGAAGCCCTTTGTGGTTTTTTTTTTCTTTTTTTTTTTTGTAGATACAGTTTCCTAGAAGATAGACATTGATCAGGAAAACTTCAGACACCTTCACTTCATTTAAGTATTTCAAACTGTTTTGATTTCTTACTTCTCAATCTATTTTGCATGCTAATTTGTTATCACACCCATAATGTTCTTGAAGTCAATACTGAATAATAAAGATTTTATTTCACATAAATAATCAGTTTCTCCAGCTTAATGTGAGATTTCAAACCTATTGCAACTGAATTTGATTGATGCACATGTAATCACAAGTCTTTTTCCCACAACCTGAACATGTAAAAATCAACTTCTACAAAAATTAGCTATTTATATGGTAATATAGTCCTATGGCACACAAACCCCAACCCCTTTCATTTAATATAATGTAATATTTAATACAATACAATATAACATATAATATATCATTTAATATATGTATTAATAGATATCAATTATTATATTATTAAATATATATCAATATATTTAATAATATAATATATAATTTAATATAATGTAATATTATGTGTCATTTAAAGGAAAATCTTGCAGTTGGAAGTTTGAGAGCTGGGCTTATGAGTCTGAAATATTATATTTTTTCCCACTGATATATAACTGGGTTCATAATAGTTTTCATTCATGACAAAGCTTTATAACACAAAAGTTAATACAACACAATTATTTTCAAATGGAATCAAAAGAGATGGAGTGTGATGTTCTTTACAACTAGCACTGCTAGTATAAATGTCTGTGAAGGAATGATCAGGCTAACCCCTGGGTACAGATGTGTTAAAAACCATGAACTGCAGAGATATATTAAATCTTCAATAAACAGTAAAAATTGCGCGTTAACAATTTTAGGTTGTGGAAAATCTAAAATTAAACATTTAGGAACATTAGCATATTTGTTTAAGTATATATAGCAGTCCTTACCTTAAAAAAAGAGAAGTTCTTTGGGACCTTTCAGCAAATTTTACACAAACTAAACAGTTGTTTTCCTGATGAAATACTGCAGAATTATCTCAAACATATTAGTATGAGAGTGCTTACTCCTGTCTTACTAAGTTTAAGTTGTGTGATATTTCTGCCTTATATATAAAGTGGAAAAAACTGGCAAACTGATCTTGAAGTTGTATGTGCTCCAATCACTTATCTTAGAGTTGGAAGCAAAAAATTCAGTGTTTTGCTGGCTCTTTTGAATTAACACAATAACTTTATTCAAAGTGGATTACTATTCACTTGGCAGAAAGGAAAAACACATACCTGGATACTGACAAAACAACAGACTACTTTTTGGGCCAAATTTATGACATTAATTTCTTTCAAACATTAACAATGAGAAGTAAATGGCACATCACAATGAAGCTAAATGTACTGCCAATTTCTTTTTAATTAAAGGTTATAGAAATGAATATAATTTTCTCTGCAATGAGAAATTGGATGGAATTAATACAGGCTTTGAAGAGGAGTCTGAAAGTCTGAAGTAAGACTTAACTGTAGCACATTCTGCATCTTCCAGGCAAGGACATTACCTAAGAGGAAAAAAACACCATCTGTTTGCAGCCAGAAACAATTTCCGACTGTAGATGTCATGAAAACTGGAAAAGTAAGTGAACAGGTCCCTAAGGAGTATCATGTATCTCAAACAAATAATAAAATAGGATGCATGCACTTTGCTGAAGTACTAAGTATTGAGAATTTCTTTTGGAGTCATTGAGAGATGTAACCCTCAGAATTCCTGAAAATAAGATTGACTAAATAATTAATTAAAATTATGCTAAATTATTATATACAAATCAAAGTTTTATTTTATCCTGAAGCTTTCATGTATTACTTGGCAGTGGTCAATGGCACACTTTGTTCTTGAATAATTATTTAAAATCTTTATTATACAGTGACAAGAGACTGTATCAACAATATATAAAAGTCAATAGAAAATAAAGTCTGGTCCAGGAGGTAAACATCAAAATGGTGTTTATTACACAGAGTGAGGAACTGACATAAAGTCCTCAATTTAAAAGGCAAGGAAAAGTCTGCTTCATATATTAAAAAAAAATGTAAAGAAAGTAATCTACGTTTCCAACACATACTTACTTTTTTTTTTTTTTTTAATTTTCTCTATTTTTTAAGCTGTGCACAACTGTGTTGAACAAGGCAATCTGAATAGGGAACATCTGTCATTAAAAAACGTTTTAAATGAAATAAAGTATGAAAAAAAATCTTTTAATATCTGATGTATTAAAAAATAACTTCAACTTAACTTTTACTTTTTGATATTCATAATCAAAAATTCAGGGATGGATATTTAATTTTAATAACCTAAAACTACTTTCAGCAAGGTTTTGAACTTGACATGAAATTCTTAGGAAAGTGGGAAATGACACAATTTGGTATATTTAGGATAAAGGAATAAAATTCCACAGGAATTCTCTTTCCTATCTGCAGCAGAGAGGAAAAGAAAATCTATAGTTGCAGATCCAGATAGCTCAAGATACTGAACAGAAAAAAGCAGCAAAATAGTGAAACTGAAATTTGTTAAGTTTGTAAAACATCCAGTATGGGCTGACCACCATTTTTTGACTAATTCTGCTTTAAGGTATCTTGACACCTTTGTTTCTGCATATCTCTGCATGTGTAATAAATGCAAAATCCCAAGGTCAAAAAAGAATATTGCATAAATTTATCAAATTAAAATATGATAGAAATTTAAGAGTGCTGCCCAAAGAATATGCAGTGAATACAATTTAAATGGAGTTTTCCTTGAATTAGGAAAAAAAGTTTTCTTTCTTTAAAATGTCCAATGCTCATTAAAATTTTACCTGGACTATAAAAGGACTGTATGATATTCAGGTGCTATTAAATCTCATATTTAGTATGATGAAACGATGGAGGGAGAAAAGAGCATCTATTGAGCAGCATTTATAATTGAACATGGTTCCTTATAAATAATGGTCAACAGAAAAAAGAAACTTTACTATAAATATTCAAGAAAATACGAGAGCAATGCATTATGTGTAAAGGAATGTGAAGATGTAGAGAACAAAAGATTAAGATTTGTCTTGAGATCTACAGGTGAACTTAAGCTTTTTAATTTGGAAATTCATTATTTCAATAGACAGGTCCTAAGTTTTTTAAACATGAGAAAAGAAATATTCTGGTGTTATTCTCAGTATGACTTGAGAATAAAATCTTAGAAGCCTTACATAGTAAGAGGAAAAAAAACCCCACAGTTTAAGATATAAAAGCAAAACTATTTTGGTGGACCAAAACCATGCTCATTCCTTCATTCATTCATATCATTATGCTTCAATGACTTCACATTTTCACACCATATTTTTAGGCCATGATTATGGATTTTTCAAAACTTCTTTAACAATATTTTAGTTTTATTTCCAGGAATGTAAGGACCACCACGTGTCCTGATGAAGAGAAGATTATTATTTTACTTGTGATGGCATTATAGAAAGTGGATTGATATTAAAAAAAAATTAAACAAAACATGGTGGGTATATTCCTTTAACCTGAAGCCAAATCATACACTCAGCATTGATGTCATATTGGTGAGTCATGTTTTATAGGACTTATGATTCAAAAGTGAAATTGTGTTTTTACATTCTTATTTTAAACTGTGACATTCATGAATTAGTAATTTTTTTCTTTAGGGTAAGGAGAATAAAAGACAATAACTCTGGATTTTCTAGAAGAAAATAATGAAAAATATCCCTATGACTTTGAGTCATAAAAGCAAAGGAGCAATTTCTGAACTTTTTTTCCAGTAACATTATTCATGTAGGGTATAAAACATTATGCTGTGGTATAAAGTTCTATTTTACAGCCAAGACAGGTTTCTCAAATATAATTCTGCTTTCTTCATTTAGAAGAAATAAAACTTACCAAAAATCAATCTAAGTCTATTGTATCAAACACAAATGCTCAAATCATCATGATTTCTAGCTTAGAGACAAAACCATTTTATTCCAGCTGCCAGAATGGATTTTCAATCCCTACCAATCCTCTTCAGTACTGCCACTGAGGCAAAGACAGATTATTTTATTCAGGTGAAATTCATGGGCTACCTTTAAAGTACTAGAAAAGTATTAGTTGCAATATTTACCAGTAAAAAAGTAGAGAAAGAGAAATTAAAAAGAAGATTCTACCCATGCAGGTAAAGAAAATAGAAAAAAAATAATAAAAAAAGGAGAAAAAAGGCAAGCTTAAATAACCTCTATCAAGAAAAAAATAGATTGCTTATGAAAGAAACAGTCAAAAAATCTTTTGCGTAGGCTTTTCTGAACAACAACATCTCCCTCATTCTTCAAGATTATGTTTGATAAATCTGAAACTGAAAAACTGAATTATTCTATAATAAAAAGGCTGGGTATTTTTATCAAATGACCATAAAAACTGGTATCAACTTCTGTCTCTCTCCCAGTCTTTTGGGAGAAACACAGTAGCTTTTGTCAATAGATTACAGCATTCACACTTGCTTAACACATCCCAGCAAGGGTGGTATGAAAGCCATCATGCTCAGGATGAGTAACTGCAGAGATTGCAGGCCAAGAAAAACCTGTTCCATGTTCTTAATATACCAAAATCACAAGAAATTCTTAGGTAACTCGACATATTGTATTAGTTTAATGTTGGGATACTACTGATAGATATATAGAGAGATAATAGCATTTGGGAACAGGATACTTCCTTTAGGCTTTTTGTGCTGCCATAAGTTCTCTGAAGCTTTTCCAATTTTATCTCCACTAATGTCATGTATGCCATTAAAACTAAAAAAAAAAAACAAAAAAAACCCAAACCAAACCAAAACAAAAACAACAACAAAAAAAAAAAACCACAAACCAAAAAACCTGGGGGAAAAACATGATGGATGGTTTTGCTTTAATTGCTAAAATTCCTGGAACAGACTAATTTTCAATGTCAGGTCTTTAAATTGGGGCTCAGGGAGCCTGATTTCACCTACTTTCTGAGTATTTTAATAATTTTGTTAATACTTTAATGGCATTTTATGAGGAAATATATACATATGTGTCAGTATAATATTTTAAAAGATAGACCAGGATTTTATGATAATTTTTGCTAATTTTTAAAAATACTGAAGGAGATCACAGTGTTTCAAGTTAACTATATGTGTGATTGCAATCCTATGGTCTCTGCCATGTAATATAAATATTCAAGCAATCACTCCAAGATATGTAATGTTACAGTTATTAAGTGAACACACACTTAGAAGGTTATAGCTATCGGTCTAATTATTTAATACTTCTGATAGCGACTGACAGCTATAAACATTCATTCTCAATTATCCTTGTTTACATGATGTGAGGATCTGGGCTTAAGCAGAAAACATCAAGCAAAATGTTTGATATGTGGTTTTCAGGCACTATCTTTTTCTAATGGACTTCTGGTATTTAAAACTCTTTGGAGTATTCCTCTGCTAAGTGCAACACTGGCCTCAAAAGGTCAGAAAGCAGATGAATTTGTAAAATTGCATGACTTCCCTCAAGTTGGTATTTTGTAGATGTACAAATAAGCAACAGTGGGCAAGGAAGAAAAGGGATATATTAAGAAATGTTTTCAAAAAATAATATTAAGCAGATTTTTCCCACCCTATCTTTCCTTTGCTCTCTGTTCGCTACTTTGATTTCATATCGTTTAAATAGCTTCTAAATATTGGTTTGTAGAAAGTTATGTTAAATAATCTTATACCATAACCACCAGAGCATGTTCTAGAATAATAGACATATTTATTTTACTTTAGTCACTGGGGCAATTATCCAATTTTATGGAGTCAAGTTTATCTAAAATCTACAAATATTGATAACATGGAAGACTTTTGTTACCTTTTCTTTTGGACATGGCTAACAGAGCTTTTCACTATTTAAAATCAATTTTTTATTCCATTAAAGAATACTGAAATAATCTTTTATGCATAAGTATGGATGATTTTTTTTATTAGTCTAGAATATTCTATGAAGGTATTACCCAAATATTACTTGTCTAGTAATAGGAATAAATTTTCTTCTTAACAAATTATGAAAATTTTCCATTTCATAGATTTTATAATTTTTAAAAATGCACACTGTTCATTGCTGGAGATAAGATGCTGCTAAAGCATTTCACTGTAATAACTACCTTTCTTTTGTAATTTGACATGTAAAAAAAAAAGAAAGTTGCATTTAAAGATGTAATCTCTCTTAGCATTCTTTTTTTTTTAAAAAAAAAAACTCCAACAAAATCTGTCATTAGATGGGTTGGTTGTTTAGGGACATTTCTTTTTCCTGGTATCAGGTTTTCTTCTGGTGGGGAAGGAAATGAGAGATCTGACTAAGTAACTTGATGGATGTAATGAAAACACAACATCTACAAGTGACTAAATGAAATCTTATTTCATCTAAGTAACAAAGGATTGGAAAGCTGATTTTTATAAAAGGTTATGTTAAAGGTTATTCTATTTCTTCAAAAGTCATCCTGAATTCTACTTGATTTGCTCTTGAGTATTAAGTGCTGCACATGATCTTAACCTTAAGATTACCATTACTTTCCATACTCTAGTATAGCAAGGGGAATTTGACCTATAAAAAAAGGTCAAATTCCCCTCATTTATTGTGGCATCATTCTGGAAAATAATGTTGAAATCAGTGAAATTACTTTGTAAACCAAGCTTTTAGACAGGATATGAGAATAGTTAGTATGAATTTGCATCTAGACAATGTTTCATAATACTTCATATGTTTGCATGCTTTATTGTCAAAATCAATTTTGCTGGCATTTCATCTCAGGCATCTAATTATTTATTTTTAGACTTTGGTTTTCATTGTTGAATATGACATGACCATGTGCCTTTCCCAGAAATGAAAATTTAAAAAATATCCTATCCCTTTCTATGTCCAACATTTGAAGAAGCTGCTGTTTTCTGTAACTGATCTAATTGGATTGTACTAATTGGCTCATAAGGTTGAAGGGTTCAAATATTAGACTTGTGCACTTATGTTAAATCTTCTGTTGTTATTTGTCTTCAGTTAAGGGCAACTACTGCTCTTAAAGCTCACAACAAGACTATCTTGTGGGAAAAAAAAATTGTAAACAGGGGTACTAAACCCTGGTAGTGCTACAGCAGCAATTGCAACAGCAGCAACTGCAAACATGTTTGAATTTTGTGTACCCATTTTGATCTAATAGGATAATGTAATTCAGAGCTGTGTATAAATGCCACATATGCATAGAATCTGTAATATGCTGACCTCAGAAGAAAACCATTATGTGATAAGAAGGTCTGTGTAAATAAATACAGAAAATGACACAGAGCATGCTGGTTAAATACATAGTTTGAAAACAGATACTTCAGAGGCTGAAGCAATCCATAAAAGCATTTAATCAACAAAGGGATTATTTTATTAATTTCATTGTCTCCTACTCTTTTTCTAATTCCTTCCATCTAATTTTTCTTCACTCTTTTGCTATTTCTTCTCATGTATAAGCATTAACTTGGTCTTAAAAAGATACTTTGAGGAACTGAATTTAATTTCATTTAATTTAACCATAGAAAGCTAGTTTTGTTGTTTTGAAATCAATATATAATACCTTTAGGGAGATATTTGCATTCCAGGTTGAAAATGAAGCGGTGGATTTTTTTGCATTATCAGTGCTTTTCTTCTGGTGTTGAAGATTGACCCCAGAGAACCTGCTAGTTCTTAATTGTTTAGCTCTTTCACCACACACAAAGATCTCTAAAGATGACACTTATTGCTTCAAATGTGCACGACACCTTTGCACAGATGAAATAAGTTTGCAGGCAATGAGAACAAATATACTGTAGCAGTGAAGTTTCTCTGAAATTACGTTTTCATTTTTTAATAGACAGTATCTTTCTTATAAGAAAGGCCAATATAAAAAAAAACCAAAACCCTGTTGGTAAACATATTGACAGTTTCTTAATTTATTTTTAAAGAAAATAAAATCATAGGGAAAAGGTGGAACAAAATGCTGCACACAATATATACAGAACATGTGAGGATGAAAATGTAACTTGGGTTACTATAAATAACCTGTTACAAAATTTATGTATTGAGAAGAATTTATTGTGTCAGATATTTTGTCAGGAACCGTGCATATTTAAAGACAATATTCCTGTTTGCTGATTTGTTTATGTATTTATAAGTCATTTCAATGTGAAATGCACTGCTGGACAAAGAATTTTAATGCACAGTGGATATAACATCAGGCTTTTACACAGCATTATTTGCATACTTTATTTCCATTCTTTTTATGAATGGCATGCTATTGCATTTGTATGGAAGTGTAAATTCATACATATTTAAACCAAATTCTCTTGGCAGGATAATATAGAAGTGTCATTAATCTTATAAATTTCAGCCAGCAAATTACTTCTTTCTCACTTAACAATAGTCATTAACATGGCATCAGCACAAAATGTGTTTTACCTTGAATACTGCTGTAAAGTTATCATCTCAATCTTCTGAACTGGTACAGAATCCTGAAGATTGATGGAGAGAAATACTAGAAAAAAAATAAGAGGACAGTAGAAGTAGCATTCTGAGTGAACACTGTTCCTGTTCTGCTTAAATAGTGTGTTTGAACTCAAGAATTCACTTAAATACCGACTCTCCTAGAAAGACTTTTTTTGAGTGGCCAGAAGAAAAATGATCAAGGTATTGTTTGAGCAACATCTTCTGAAAGCCCTTGTTTCTGTCTAGATGGTAAGAGCAAATTTAAGATAGTTCAATTAAAAAGAAAAAGCTCTCGACCTGAGACTTCGATGCCTCCATTGTTATTTACTTTGATCATCACTTAGGTC